GTTGAAGAGTTACTTATGAGAAAAATTAGAATAGTTATGAGGTAAATGTTATACTTCTAAAAACTTGACTTGTCTGTCAGATAACGATCTATGAGACGGTTTACTAATCTACGTTCAAGAAATAATCAACGTTCATGATCACAATATAATCTATGTATATATATGTTTTTGAACATGTTCGTGAACATTATTAAACGAACACTAAATGAGCTTGTTCACGAACATTATTAAACAAACACAAACGAGCTTGTTCACGAACATTATTAAACGAACACAAACGAGCTTGTTCACGATCTCTTAGCAAACAAGCATACAACTGTTCAAGCTCTGTTCTTTTATCAACCGAGCTCTAAATTTTTTTTGTTAATGGTTCGTTTACCTTAACAAACGAACATAAACGAACGCTTACCGAACACGAACACGAGTAGTTTGCCGAAAGCTCTGTTCGCTAACCCCCTACGATTTAGTAGGAGATTTTGCCAATGTATAAATAAATAAATATAATAATAGGCACATTATTATTATTATTATTATTATTATTATTATTATTATTATTATTATTATTATTATTGTTATTATTATTATTATTATTATTGTTGTTGTTGTTGTTATTGTTATTATTGTTACTATTATTATTATTATTATTATTATTATTATTATTATTATTATTATTATTGTTATTAATATTATTATTATCATTATTATTAAATTTAAAATAAAAAATTGAGATAAAATTATTTTAATTTAAAACACGTACATAAAAAAAAAAGAGTTGAAATTAATAATTTCTAATTTCTTTTACAACTAATTGTTGTCCATTAGCATATATCTATCTAAATTTTATTAAATTTAATTATATTATTGATAGATAGATACATAATGTATCATTTCAAAATTAATAAATAATAATGATAATAATTTATTGTAACAAGATTATTATTATTATTATTATTATTATTATTATTATTATTATTATTATTATTATTATTATTATTATTTAATTTTAAATTAGGTGCTTCACATTTGGAAAAGTGGTAGTGTAGTAGTTGATGAATGTTTCATTTGTTAAAATTACGTAGATAAATTCATTCTTATTTATAACTTTAATTCTTCATCATCATTCTTCTCTTGTTGTTGTTGTTGTTGTTGTTGTTGTTGTTGTTGTTATTATTATTATTATTATTATTATTATTATGTCAAAGGATAAAGATTTACGGATGACCAAATTAAATGGATATGTGCGTTAATGAATTAAATTAAAAGTTCATATGTTCTAATATAATCTTGAAAAAAAAAAATTCAACCACATTTAAAACTTAATTAATGGTTGGATAAATATTTCTAAATGACGTATTAAAATAAGTATGTTATATGCGTTAATAAACAAGTGTGTACGTTACTAATTGACTATGTATGTGCCTCACTTACAAATTAAAAGGCTATGTGCGTTACTAATTAATTGCAAAGTTTGAATTGCTCACAAAAACTTGTGGAAGACAATGAACGACATTAAATGCTCCGCTCAATCGTAAGATAAAGATTTTTAGAAGACAAAATTTTAAGACTATGTACTATGTAAATTACTCAAATAAGTAAAAAACTAAGGTATGATGATTTTCTAAAACAAGCTTTCTAAAAAATTTCAACAACATTCAAGACTCAATTGTAGAATAAATATTTCTAGATAAGAAAATTAAATGCCTATGTGTGTTACAAAATCACTATGTTCGTTACTAATTAAATTAAATGATTAAAAAGTAAAATTCAAGTAAGTAATTCATTAATGCGAAAATTAACAAATAATCTCTCTCTTGATTTTCTCTAGGATTTTTGCGGTTCCCACTAGGGTTTTCCTAGGTCTTCAACAACGTTTGGTGGTTTCTCTACCGGTCGATGGCCGGTGTTGTGCGCATGGATGGAGGGCTCGCTGGTGGCGGTTTGCCCAGGCGGGGAGAGGAAGCGTTACCTGGGGTTGAACGAGCCGACGGAGGGGTTGCTGGCGGTGGTTTGCACCGACGGGGAGAGGAGGCGATACCGGGGGTAGAGCGAGTAGACGGGGAATGCGTTGGCGGTGGTTTGCACCGTAGACGGGGACTGTGCGAGTGGAGGGAGAATACGATGGCAGTGGTTTGCGCCGTAGGGGGGGAGGGGCCGGTAACTGGTATCGGGCGAATGGAGGGAAGGAGCGCTGGCAGTGTTTTGCAGCGTGGGAGGGGAGGAATTGGGGCTGATCAGTCAGCGGAGGTGGTGGCTGATGTAGCGGCGTTGACAGATAGGTGGGCGGATTGGGCGCTGCTCGAGGAGGAGGGTGCGGTGTTCATGCCGGATGGTGGTGCTGCCGAGGTGGAGGGTGGTAGGGAGGGTGAGGAGGAGACGTGGAGGGTGGTTGGGCATTTTTTAACACAGAAGTTGATTAAACTGGACTTTATGAGGCAGGTGTTAGCTTCGGTATGGCAGCCAGTTCGTGGAGTGCAGGTAACGGAAATCCAAAGGGGATTGTTCTTGTTTGTTTTTTTTTTTTCCATAAAACAGATCTGGAGTATGTCTTGAATGGGGGTCCCTGTGCGTTTGAGAACAATGCTCTTGTGTGTCGGGAGGTTATGGACGGGGAGAATCCCGTAGATGTGAAGCTGGATATGATTAACATGTGGGTACAGCTGCATGACATGCTGAAAGGGTATATAACTCAGGCAATTCTGGAGCAGGCAGGGAATTTTTTGGGTTCTTTTGTTAAGCATGATGACCGGTTTGAAGGGGCGCCATGGCTTACCTTTCATCGTATTCGGGTATCAATTCCGGTTGATAGGCCGCTGAGGAGAAGGATGAAGTTGATGAAGAGGGATAGGACGACAGCATGGGTTAATTTCAGGTATGAACGGCTGCACAAGTTTTGTTACTTCTGTGGATATATGGGTCACTTGCACACGTTTTATCTATAAGCTAGTGAAGCGGGAATTCCATTGGAAAGGTACCTATACGGACCGGATATGCGGGCTGGTGGATCTCGGAGCGCTCCTAGAGCGGTTGGGGATAGCTGGCTCGTGCCGGTAGGCGGGAAACCACGACCACTGGAGGTCAGAGCACAGGTGACTGAGGCGGTAGGCGGGGGCCTGAGAGGTGGGGGTGGGGTGCATTCGAGTATGTCTGAGGATGAGATGTTGGTGGCTACGGCTAAGCGTCGAAGGCACGGTACGGAAAGTGTGGAAGGTGCGAGGGATGATGATGTTACAATGACGGATGGTTCAAAAAACTTGCCTATGGCGGGAGCTGGTGTCCAGCCCCGCTCGTCATCATGAGTACGTTGAGCTGGAGCTGGTGTCCCGTAAGAAGCCAGAGTTTGTGTTTTTGATGGAAACCAAGGTGGCACAGATACATGCAGAAAGAGTCCGTGTCAGGCTTGGGTATGATGGATTGTTTTATGTGAATAATGAAGGTTTAAGTGGGGGCATGGCTCTCTTTTGGAAGAAAAACAACACGGCCAGGTTGTTAAGTTACTCGCCGAACCATATTGATGTCGAGGTTAGTATGACAGGCAAGATTTGGCGTATGACATGCTTGTATGGGCGTCCAGATCGGAATAGGAGGGAGGAAACCTGGGAGCTACTGGGTACGCTGAGAGATAGATCTGTGTTGCCCTGGGTAGTGATAGGGGATTTTAATAATCTCCTCTATCAACATGAGAAGATTGGGGGGGGGGGGGGGGAATCCGTATCCGAATAGCCTCTTACGGGGGTTTGGGAAAGCCGTTGATGAGTGTGGGCTGATGCAGATGCCGATGCGGGGCCGTCAGTTCACATGGGATAAGAGTAAAGGCACGATGAATTTGGATACAGGAAATACTGGATAAGGTATTTGTTACGGATGAGTGGGGTGGTATGAATGAGAATGCATGGGTGGAAAATCTACCGGATCACTCGGCTTTGTTTCTCAATGTTAATGCTTTTTGCATGAACAGAGCAAGGGGACCGAGAAAGTTCAGATTTGAAATGGCATGGTTATTGGATGAGGGTTGTAAGGAGGTGGTGGAGACAGCCTGGCAGGAGGGGAGGCCTGAGGGCTTGTTGCACTGTCAGCAGTTTTGTGGTATGAAGTTGTTGCGGTGGGGGGGGGGGGGGGGGGGGGGGGGGGGGGGGGACCAATTCCATAAGTTTGGCCACCGGATCAGGCAATTGCGGAGGCAGTATGAGAATTTCCGAGATGTAACGAATCCGGTCGCACTGGCCGAATTCCAGCAGAATGAGAATCTGCTGAAGCAATTGGAGGCGTAAGAAGATGTGTTTTGGAGACAACGGGTGAAGCAACACTGGCTCCGTGGTGCATACGCCAACACTAAGTTCTATCATAGGTATGCCTCTGCCCGTAGAAAAAAGAACTTTATTGCTAGTATTAAAAATGATGGTGGTGGTTGGGTGGAAGGCAGGGATATGCACTCGGTAATATTGGATTATTTTAAGGGCATTTTTACATCTAATAATTTGAGTTGTGATGATCCCCTTTTTGATAATTTTGCCCCCCGTGTGTCTGATGAGAATAATGAGATGTTGGATCGGCCTTTTACTGTGGAAGAGGTAAAAACAGCGCTTTTTACTATGTTCCCAGATAAAGCACCAGGCCTGGATGGAATGAATCCGGGCTTCAACCAACATTTCTGGCCAGTTGTGGGGGAGGATGTGTCTGGATTTATAATACACACTTTGAACTCTGGAGTATTTCCGGAGGGGCTGAACGATACTAACATAGTATTAATTCCCAAGAAGGAGGTCCCCGAGACTGTAGCAGATTTGAGACCGATTGCCTTCAGCAATGTCATTTATAGAATAATGGCTAAGATGTTGACAAATAGAATGAAAACGCTAATGGGTGATCTCATCTCGGAGTCCCAGAGTGCGTTTATTCCTGGCAGGTTAATTACAGATAACATCTTGGTGGCAGCTGAGGTGGGTCACTACTTGAACAGGAAATAGTGTGGTGTGGTTGGTTGGAGTGCACTGAAGTTGGACATGTCGAAAGCATATGATAGAATGGAGTGGAATTTTTTGGAAAGAATGTTGGTGGTGCTGGGGTTTAGTGACAAGTGGGTCCGGCTGATAATGCTGTGTGTGACAACGGTAAGCTATACTGTGATGGTGAATGGGGAAGTAGGAGGATGGGTCAAACCCACTCGTGGACTTAGACAAGGAGACCCTCTCTCTCCTTATTTATTTATTATCTGTGCTAATGCACTTTCAATGTTGTTGCAAAAAGAACAGGTAGCAAGTTCAATACATGGATGTAGAGTGGCCAGAGGGGCACCTCCGGTATCCCATTTATTTTTTGCCGATGACAGCCTGCTTTTCTTCAAAGCGAATATTCGGGAAGCTAATGTGGTCAAACAATGTTTGGTGAGGTACGAGAAGCTATCTGGGCAGGTGGTGAATTATAACAAGTCAAGTATATGCTTTAGCCGAAATACCCAGCACATGGCCAGAACGCAGGTGGCTGACTGCCATGAGGTTGTGCAGGCGGATAATTTTAGAAAATACTTGGGCCTCCCATCATTTGTGGGCAGAAATAAGAGAGCTGTTTTTTCCTATGTGGAGGAAAAGATCAAGCAAAGGATTGGCTCGTGGAATAAAAAGTTGTTATCTCAAGCTGGTAAGGAGGTTTTGTTGAAAAGTGTGGCTTAATCTATGCCAACATTTTCAATGGGTGTCTTTTTGTTGCCTGAAACAGTTTACCAATCCATTGAGAGAACCATGAATAGATATTGGTGGGGAAGTGGCAGAGATATGGGGATACATTGGAAGGCATGGGATAAATTATGCATCCCTAAAAAATTTGGTGGCTTGGGTTTCAAGGAGTTAAGAGCATTTAACCTGGCTATGCTGGGTAAGCAGGCATGGCGTTTTCTTACGAATCCAGGGTCTTTGGCAGCAAGAATATACAAAGCCCGTTATTACCCCACCACTAGTTTTGTTGATGCTACTGTTGGAAATTGCCCAAGTTTTTGTTGAAGGAGTATAATGGCGGCACACCCAGTAGTGGTAGCTGGGATACGACATAGAATTGGAAATGGTGAGACAACTCTTATATGGGGTCACCCATGGCTCCCGGATAATCCTAGTCCCTTGATACAAACAGTGATGCCAGAGGAGTTAAGAGAGGCACGAGTAGCAGGTTTAATAGACCCACAAACAAGCACATGGGATCCACATATTCTTTCTGATTTATTTATCCCTGAGGATGTGAACCGAATAATTATGATTCTTGTTAGCCCTTGTTATGATGACTCATGGTATTGGATGGGTGACCCAAAAGGGATTTATACAGTAAAGAATGCTTACAGGCGTATTATTGGTGATTTTGAGAGTAGCCCAGGTGATTTTGATAAATGGGTTAAGATGTGGAAATTGAAAGTACCACCAAAGTGGAAGACTTTTTTGTGGAGGGCAATATGTGATATTCTACCCACTACCACAAATTTGATTAATAAAAGGGTGGAGATCGACCTGGCATGCCCAATGTGCACTTTAAATCATGAAAATGTGTTGCATGCTTTAGTATATTGTGAATGTTCTACATTAGTTTGGAATATAACACAATTACCTATCACAAATATTGTTACAGATTCGTTCGCAGCATGGTTAACTGGGGCTATAACGGTCTTAACGGAAGAGCAGACACAACTTATGGTGGGGGTCCTCTACAATATATGGAGATGCCGCAATGCGGCCATGTGGAAAGGGGCCATGCTACGTCCGCAATCCGTGGCAAGGGGAGCGGCGACATCGCTCCTGGCGTACGGCAGTGCGCACTGTCGCACCACACGGGCGGAACCAGCGCCACATTCCGGACCGGAGTTGCACGACAACCACATGCGATGTTATGTAGATGCGGGGTATCGACAGGGAACCGGGGAGGCCACATATGGTATTGTGTTACTATCGCCCGGGGGATCTTTCATAGCGGCAAAGAGTGGTAGATCACCCTCTTGTTTTTCACCACTCATGGCAGAGGCGTTGGCATTTAAGGAGGCAATGTCTTGGCTAATTGGGAGGATCAATGAAATGTCCTCACACAAATTTTTGTCATATTTATGCCATCTACGAAAGGTGCGCCCTTTGTATTAGCCAACAACTCATTAGGTCTCCAATTTGGCGATGGGATAGTGCGACACCTCCAACTTCCTTAGCTCATCACATATCAATACATTACTTCTAAATTTATCATTCAAATTATTATTATTATTTTTAATAATATTAACCCTATTACAATTATTAGTGATGGAATAATTACGGAGCGGACCCGCAGCGAAGCAATATGGAGCGGCTCACACTCGGCACCGAGTTGACTATGCACGCAGCCGGACAGACCATGGAGGGGACTACCTTCCCGGGGTCCTCGGCTACTACCACGGGGTCGCTACTATCATGGGGTCCTCTGCTACTACACACACGGAGTGACGAACCATCCCGCTGTGGGGGGGGGGGGGGGGGCTAACCACCCCGGGTGCAGCTTACCGCCCCGGGGTCGGCCAACATGGGGTCGGCCAACATGGGCTCGCCACCCCGGGGTCGACCCACGTAGGCCCGGCCACCACAGGGTCGACCGGCGCACCCGGGGTCAGCCTATGCGAGGTCGGCCTGGCCGAGCTTTGGGGTCGGCCTGGCCGAGCTTTGGGCTCGGCCGGGGACGGGGTCTCCGCGTTGTCCGAGTCGTGCGGCGTTTATTGCGGGCCAATGCGGTTGGGGGCATCTCCAACGGTTTCTCCGGGGTTTTTATGGCGACATAGGCTATAAAATCCCTCCTTGATGTCCTAATCAGGGCATCTTGGGTCCTAAACACTTACTTGTCTTGTTATTACATATTCTACACCTCTGTAATAGCATTATACATTCGATTAATACAAGATCAGTCCTCGTGACTATATTCGTACTAATATCCGTACCCCTATTATCGTTTTAATCACATATTCGTTACATTTATTCATTCACTCGAGTTAATTAATCCGGACCCCGAGTTTAATTAATTCCATCAATTAGTTTTCAAATTATTAGTTACTTTTACCACATTACATTTGCACGATATATTTAGCTGGATGACATTTTATGTTTATCACTTATATATATAATATTAAATTAATGTAACGTTCAAACTTTCTAAAATAAGTTTGCATACGAAATTGGTTAACTTTTATGCTTATCTCTCTTACTAGTTTTTTTACGCGCTTTGCGCGAATGAGATAATGGTCAATGATTAATTTTAAATAAGTATTTCAAAATATATCAATATAATGCAATATTATATATGAGATGTTTATGCATAGATAAATAAATGTTGAATTTATTTATTTAAATCGATAATTTAAAGTATATAAATTCAAGATAATATATGAGAGAGTGATTATAATTTGTCACATTTTGTAATAATGCTAGTTTAAATACTTAGTCTGTGATAGTTTTTTTGAACGTGATCGTAGGAGCAAAACGAACGCAGCAAGACAAAGCCAAAAACCAATAAACCCTAGATACCAGGGAGAGAGAGAGAGAAAAACCCTAGATACCAGGGAGAGAGATATACATCAAGCCTGACCAGTCTGTGATAGTTTAAATAAATACTACTTTTGATTTAAATTTCTCTAATTCTTCTTAATTCTCTTTTGGGTAGCATTGTCATTGTTTTCGTCCTCAGTACATGTTCTTTCTTTTTTTTATTTTTTTATTGGTAGTGTGTCATGTGCAATTAGGTTACTGGTGACAGCATAGAGAGATTCATCATGCTATGAGATTATGGTGTAAGAAGCTCTAATTTAGATTTGTCTTGCTGTGTATATGATTGAAATTTAGTTAATTGTGTTGGAAAAATTAGCTTAAAATGGCATATTAAGTGGTTATTTTGTGGTACAATTATCAGTGGGGTCCACTTCCGATTTGGGTCGGGTCAAAGTTGATTCAAGCCCGGGCAAGAATGTCGTCCGGAAATGGGCTGGCCTTGCGGGCTAAGTTATGCCTAACTTCGGTAGCTTTCAGCTTCCCAAAACTCTGCTTCTACTCTCTTCTTTACCAACTAGTGTTCTCTACTTTGCTTTGTTTGCCGGGTTCCTTGTTTAGGTGCTTAAACAAGGAATCGTAGCACGTTTTATCCTGGGAAACCTAGGCTACAAGCTCCTAGCACTTGTGGGAGGTAGCAAATAAGGTTTTAAGGAAAAGAACCTTGTGTTCGAACTCGTGCTAAACCTATACCCAAACACTCAACCTTTTCCTTCCCAATTTTCTGTTTTCCCATATAATATTAATCTTTCCGTAGGATTATTATTATTTTGGGATTTTCCAACTTATTACCCAACAAATTGTAATATGAACTCTTTATCTTACAAACACCTATTGATATTTAGTAGTGGTAGTTTTCCTCCTACATGTTTCATGTGTTGTGAGATGTGTGTCGTAGGTTATCATGTGAAAGTATTGAACAAAATATTAATATTTATTATATTTGTATAGAATACTTGGTAAATAAATATATATAACATGTTTTGTATTATAAATTTGATATTTAATTACAAGATAATGTAAAAAGAAGACAATCGACAATGTAGTGAATATAATGAATTAATAAATTTGAAGGTAAGGAATCTTTGAATTGTAGAAAAATAAAGATAATATAACTAATGAAATCATATTTCTTTTAATTTTTTTTTAAACTGAATAATTTTTTATAAATAAAGCATTATAGACATCTAATTCTAAATTAATTAAATGCATATTTATGTATTATTTTTTGTTGTAGCTACTACTTTATTTAATTTAATAAGAGTAATAAAGTGTCACAAATACTTTTTAGCAACAATAATGAAATCAATGATTTTTTTTTTTTTTAATTTCTATTCCTTGTTGAGACAAATTGTTATGAGAATTTGTCAATCACAATTGCTACAATTGTTGTCAATAGAAGATAATAATAAATAATTCAAAATATAAGGTTACAAATATTGTATAATGTATGGTTGCTAGTGTTGTGGTTGAAAAAATAACCAGCCAAAGGGAATCAACAACTCCTTATCGTCCTTTCGAATCTATGACCTTGCCGCACATCGTCCTTTCAAATCTACAAAACATTCATTGTTTTCCAAATGAACGTTACAGAATTCTTAACAAAATCAAAATCTTCTTCAAACGACAAAATCTTTAACATTATCAAACTCCTCAAACGACACAATTTCTTTGCGTAAACCTTCAGACACCCATTTGATCGATCTCTGGGTTCTCTTTGGAGTCCGTCGGTCTTTAGATATTAAATAAAAAAAAATACAGTCACGCCGCCGCCGGATGAAGTTTTCGATTTGGTGTTAAGAGCATCCACAATGGTTGGGGAGAATTGGGGGATAATGTAAGAGTGATTAGGAGAGAGAATGTGGGAAGGGGAGGAAAACAAAAAAAAAAAAACAAAAAAATCAAAATCAAAAATAAAAAAACAAAAAATAAAAATAAAAAAAAAAAGGGTCAGGCGCGCCCGTGTGGGCGGGCTGCTGTGCGCGTATGCAGCCTCCTTTTTCTTCTCTTTCCTTTTCTTCTTTTTCTGCATTCTCCTTGAATTTGCAGGAGAAATATCTCCACCAATAACTCCCCCCCCCCCCCCCCCCCCCCCCCCACACTTGTTATTATCCCCACCCGAGATAATTCATCTGATATTATCTACATAATATCCACTGATGTGGATGCTCTAAGAAAAGTTATGTTTTGTGTTACGTTTTTTGAGGCAATTTTAAATGGAAGAATATGCAGATGAATGAATTCAAAGGAGATGGAGCGTTGAAGTCTGCGCCGTTAGGTCCTCCCACGTGCGGCAAGGTCGAAGAGCAGAGACGCCAGGGGAAGGATCAACGAAGCCCATGCGCCATTATTATTTATATTTAATATCTAATAAATAAATGTTTAAAAAAAAAAAAAGACACGTGTCAAATATGTAGAAATTTAACCTGTTAAACAAGTCATTTTGGATTCAATTGAACATTTTTACAGGTTTAGGGAATTTGAATGAAGCTTTTTTTTTACTTGGGGATCCAATTGCACTATCCGGTTGACTTAGAAGGCCAATTTGACCCTTTTTCCATCAATTTATTTGGTCATGTAAAAATCTTTACCTACAATTCTAATAAGAGACAATAATGTTAGGTCTTTAACTGGAACAAAAAAATGTCGGTAGTATTGTTTCTTAAAATGAATTGTTCATATTATTCTGATTTTACTATTTTTTTTAATGATTTTCCTTATTTACCCTCTATTATATTATTTTCTTCCCTTAAATAACCTGAATTCCATTAGTATAAACTTTAGTAACATAATATTCCGTTAACTATTTATTATTTTTAACTTACTCATTAACTTATATAAGAAATGTCTTAGGTTCAAACCATATCCCATTTAGAGTTGACATAATTGTTAAACATATACTACGAATATGTTATAATGTATTAAAAAAATATATAATATAAAATTTAATATAAACTTTGGTCAAATAATTAGTCCGACTGAATAGATAACATTCAAAGTTAAGCATCAAAGATTATAAATCAAGAACTTTAAAAATCATTTGATTTTTATGCATTTAAAAAAAATTAAGTTTTTTTTTTCATTTAATTAATCTTCTTTTGATTATTTAGATCAGAACAAAACTTAATATTTCAATTATACTTTTGCATTATTGGTATGATTTACGTTGTTATAATATTAATATTTTTTGTATGTATTTTTATAATGGTACAATTGTACATTACTTTACAAATATTATACTATTATTTTTTTATCGGACAAAATTGTTCTTACATCATTGTAAGACCTGCGCGGCCTAACTACAAAGTTATTGATCATAAATACAATTACACCTGGACTCTAAAACGGTAGGACCATATTCTAATGAATTGACAATGTTGACATCCCACTGGCTCCAATTGAACAAGTTTACACATCATAATTTTATCAATGCATGAAAACTTATAAAGAAATTTGTAAGTTAATTTTTACTATATCATTATAACAGTATCTATTGTAACTATATATTTGAATTATTTATTATCATCCTCTATTGACATTAATTGTAACAATTGTCATTCACAAACTCTCAAAACAATTTG